ACTGGTCTAGAGTGTTATTTTAAATGTATAACATAATTTAACGAGGAGACCCCTTTAATGTGTATTTATTTGAATGTATTCCATACCACTGTGTTACATTTCAATTCATTTTGTTTGAATTTAAAATAGTAGGTTCAATCCAACTTCTTGATGAACAGCACATGAACAGCTCGAACTATCACGATCCAGACTTCGGTAATTTTTTATCACATTGTGTATAAACGTAGTATGGCACCCAAATGTTTTTTTACCATCTAATAATCGAAGCTTATTGTAAGTGTATTTAAAAACTGAATCCGACCACTATAAGTTTTTGTTCTTGAAAGCAGCCATAGAAAATTTTTGAGAACCACTGATAAACACTTAATAAATTGTCCTGTAGATCCATGTGTGTAACGTAATGAGAGGTGAAAAGACTAAGAATGGCTGAATAAAATGTTTGTCATGAATTTAATATAGAAATTTAAGAGAAATTCTGTTGATCTGGGTTTCATAAACTTACTGAAGTATTCAATATCAGAGAGTTATGAACGTGTGGTTCAGTTAATACTGGATATTGGATAAATATCAGATGTGCTAGGCAATTGTTAACTAAGTTAACAGTACAAATTTTAAAAGTATTTGTCGTTTCTGTGAAAGATAATGTTTGTGTATATGTTTCTAGAGTAAGTTATTAATTCAAGGCATGTGTGAATTGTGTTACTTAATCTGTTTTGCTAGCAATAAAAATTCACTTCCAGAAACAGTATTTATTTAACGAACAGTACCCTGGAAACATGTGGAAACCATTTCGAATATCACAATGACCACATACAGCATAATATGCTATGTACATCGTGAATTTGAGCACCCGTTACTGAAAGAAGCTAGAAAGTAAGCAATTTGAGTGGTGACCTACGGCATAAAGAACATACAAAATTGTATTTATTTCCTGCCAGTTATTCTGTAGTTATGAAATGTATATTTGCACATATTACATGTGAAAACGTCAGTTTCGACATAATTCCTTAACATGAGAATGTTTATAAACCAACTCCACATAATATTCAGATGAATCTTCCCGTAAGTATGAATTTCGTGTGGTCGCCATATTCTTGTTTTACGTTCTACGAAGAAAATTTTCCTTGTGAACATTTATTTTCACACGATTTAATTATCTTATACCAATTCGATTAACTGTCGCTCCGCTCTCTTATATTCGCACGGCCTCGTGTTGATATTATTGGCAATTGTAAATTAAAGATACAATCTGTGGGATGGCCTGTAACTTTAAGAAGTGCATACGAAGTTTCACAGAAATCTATCAATCGATTTGAAAGATACTACTGGAGGGGGGGGGAGTCGGACACATTGGTTCATGGATCATATCATAAGGTTAAAATTACTTCGGAACAAACTTATGAAAATAGGTGAAGGATCGAGATGAAACTAATCACTCATAAACGACTCTATTCTCTGACTTTTGGCGCTGTACGCTGCGACGATCGACGTAGCTAAACTAATATAAAACCAGAATACTGGACAAAACGCCAGGATTCTGCCATTGTTGGCTGTTGCTAGCAGCTGCAGCCATAGCCTACACCTGGATCAATACGTCTCCTCCCCCCACCCTCCCGACCAGAATCGTACAGATACACAAGATGGCGACGTCCCACACATCGCGCCGAGCTGCCCTCTTGAACATGAGCTGACCTTTCACCTCCATAAGGGTAAGTTCCATTCATTATAACGGTGTCGTTGCACGGCCATGTCACGTGCTTCTACGGCTGTAGTGTTTTGTTGTCATAATGGGAACGTGGTCGAACCGAGGAATCCAAGACGGTTCTTGAATTTCCAACTGGAAAATGGAAGCATCTGCGTTTTTAGGAATTTCTAAGTAGCTTCTCTCTGTTGGCTCTTTGCTGCAGTATGGAGTTAGCCAACTGATTTTACAACAACCCATTAGGGCCCGCGACTTGGGTTCTAAGTGTGTTAAACTACTGAAATAAAACGTAATAATCTGATTGTTGTCGTTTTTTAGTATCATGGTTTGATACATTACAAATAGTATTCGGACTTTGTTTCGAGATGTTTACTGTTTATATTTTGTTTCTAAAACTAATTCTGTCAGAGACACGCAAATAAAGAAAACTGAGCTTTAAAGCTTCGTTGTAAAACAATGTTTTTAATTCAGTGAACAGAGAGAAATTTGTTGTAGCCGTGGTGAGGGACGGAACAGGAAACCAGATGGTTGTGTGTGTAAACACCAGCCGCCAGACCTTCTTATACATCAACTCCAGGCACAATAAAAAATAAAGCCGAACAAATCATCTGTGAGAATCGGGACTCTATCTGAACACCATGAACCCCGTTTACGGCGGAAACTTGCACGAACAGTCTTGATGATAGAGGCAGTACGCACCTTTGAAACTTCGATCAACATCTACGTGACAAGGCTTAAATTTAGACTTTTACAAAACAGTGAAACGATGCACACCCATAGCATTTAATCTGTGCTGAAATCGATTATCTCGCAGTCTGTAAAATCGTGCATAAACACGTAGAACGGGAAATACGAACCGCACTCCCTCGGACATCTTGGCTCCCCTTGAAGCGCTGAGGGGTCAGTGCCCGCGAGAGTTTTATAACAGTCATAACGGGGTTTAAATATTTTATTTGCTAATTGTACAATGCATTTCCTGAGCTAGTTAGTATGTGGATGAAAAATATGATAATACAGAACGTACTATTTAAAACGCAACTCAACAGCAATCACGGCCACAGACACGTTAATATTAAGCAATTTCGGAAGAATTTGTGGAGTTGCCTGCGTTTCGTCTTGAGGGGATTCCGTGACGATGTGATTGAGTCGACCGCTCGGGAGGAACTGTTATGGTCTGAAACTAACGTAATTGTTTTGCTTGTCCAATTAAATTTCATTTTTCTATTTGCGGGTCACCAGAAAGTAGTCAAACACGAACTAGCCTGTTGAGTTACAATACGTGCAACTTGTATTTGTTGTTCAACATATCTCATTATTTGTTAGTAATTGCATCGGACGTTATAATAATTCGACAAAAGGCTGGTTGGATATTTGAACCCTGATGCCCTCTGTTGATAGGAGGGCATCGGTTCAGTTGACCGGTTACATAACACAAGAGGCTGCTGGGTAGTGTACCCGCTGTGAAAGAACGACGGTGGATATTGATTGTAACTACCACAGCCTGCCAGCTACAGAGCAAATATTATTTCCAACGATCGACAAAACTTTTTAATCCGGTAATGATGCTCCATGACAAGAAGGGGAAATCAGACCTGTTGTTAAAATAATCTATAATGATTTAGGGAAACCTTCCTGTCTGTCGAGCCGTGGGCCGGGCAGTGATGCCAAAACGGCAGCAATAAAAAGTTGATTTTAAATCCACGCAGCAAACGAACGTTGGGCCTACTTCCAATTCGGGAGGTCCTGGGTTTAAATCTCGACCTGCAGACATGTATCTGGCATTTCTTACTCGGTTCCTTCAGGCAAGTAACGGCATAATACCTTAAATCAGGTCATAACCGCTTCCTTTCACATTTTCCCAATTCATTATTCATTAATTAACCTATCATTTGATGTTGAGCTGATAAAGGCGCCGACAAATGAACTACAAACATCCAGTGAATAGGCTCCCTCTTGAGGGGCTAATATTAGCTTAGCTAGTTTAGAATTCTCTGCCTTTTATGGCACCAAAGTTCCATGATAATGTAGACAAAATCCTGCCACTGGACCATATTCTGAGCAAAATTAATCTAATCCACTTCATTACACAACACCGTATCTCTTATAATCCACATCAATGTAAAATGTAATAAAAATCCGTTCGGCAATTCTCGAACGTACAGTGAGGCAAATGGTGATACGCGCTTCTCTGGGATGCTACGTGCCATTAAAAGTTTTTTAAAAAATATACCAATTTTATGACGTCAGGTCAAGTATATGTGATGACATAGTAACACGTCATACAGATACAACTTTGCGCTAAACATTATTTCGTCCGCAAAATACCACCAGGGATGGCGACTGACATCTAGCAGTTTGTTCGGTTTTCCCATCCGAAAACTGAACATAACCTAAGCAGATGGCGCCGAGTCCTTACTGCTTCTGTCTGGTGGGGGCTGTGATTATTTACGTGCACCTACTTCGATTTCTTTCCTACTACTTACTGGAACGCCAGTATTTTAAAATGCTAGTTTCATTCGACTCTTTATTGATTTTGGCCAACATGGCAGCTGATGCTTGCAAATCCATTACCAATCCACATGCATTTCAGTGTTGTTTCAGGAACACCTATCAAGTGTGACAGAATACAAATACACATCTCATACCTACTGATTGTTCGTAAACAAGAATCTGTCCTGAGCTACTTCAATTCAGTCCACACACTGACACCTTATTTAACTTCACTTAATTCCACTTTAATACCATCCTCTCATCTACGCCTGGAACTCATGAAATGGTTTTCCTTTCAGATTTACCGAAAAACGTTTGTGCATACTTTTTACATTTAATTTCCTCACAAGTGTTACATGTCCCGCCCATCATTATTATTGATTCTAATATCCAGACAATATTTGGTGTAGAGTGTTACGCAAATGTTCTCATCCTTATCTTCAACTCTCAGATCCAAATATTCTTCTCAGCACCGTGTTCTCAGGCCATCCCCTGTGTTTCTTCCAATGGGTGAGGGAGACCCATTTTCTCATTCATATTCAAACAACAGATAAAAGTCACAGGTTTGTATATTCTATGTTAACTTTTAAGTAGGAAACGGGAAGATACAATATTCTAAAAGGAATGTTAGCAAGCTTATCCGAATTAAATTTTTCTGATTTCTTTGTGGATAAAATTTGTGCAGGTCCCTGTAGTTCCGAATCATTTTAACCCTGCCACATTTTCGAAGGATGTCTTGGCAGTCCCTTGGTTTAAACGGCGCCTTGCGTAAAGCTTGTGGGCGGTAGGATACAGCGGAAGTTCCAGCTGGCTGTACATCTGCCAGTCTGGTGTCGGTGTCTCGGGTTGACGGTGGCGTGCGTTGTTGCTACTGAAGCTGATTATAAGCTGTATACGTCGGTTTCACGGATGAAACGTCTTGCTTTGCGGTTTGTGTGGGGTAAGATAGAAGCCATTTACCTCCGTTACTTCTCAGAGTACTTGCAGACTTCAGATAAAACACAAGCTGGAACTATTTTTTAATTATTCCTGTTGCAGCTTACTAAGGAGTGGCAGATGGTGGTAACGTTATTACTTCTTGATTCATTTAACGACGATTTATTTTCTGCTTGGATAAGTGGTGACAAATGACTGTGATTATACGTCATGAATGTAGAAAATTGTAGTCCTGGTCAATTTTAAGATACGGCTACTTTCGCAGTATTATCCAGGAGAGCGTGAGGAAAACTACGAAACTTCTGCCAGTGATGTCGGTCTCAGGGGCAGAGATCAAACTCGGAATATTCTGAATGTGCTTCAAGTGACAGTGCTACGTATCTATCTTTTTTTAAGAAAGTCTTGGTTGGTTGTTTGGTTAGTAATCAGTGGCTATTAAAGGATTTTGGGCCTTACGGGACAATGTTTATGAATGTGAGTATAAAAAAGTTGCCATGGTAATACTGGTAAGGGATTTTGGGCCTCATGGGAAACATTTTTAGCCATATGTTTACTAATTTTGATTTTCCGTCATTCTTGACTGGAAATGTTAAATTAGAAATCTGCTCATTGGAAGTCATTTAAATTCCGATAGGTCACGATTCAGTGTATTTTTAAGCCTGCCTGTTCATGTATGACCTTCAGGCTGCTGTTCTGATTCGTCAACAACAGTTCAGAGACCACTCGGGGAACCTAGATTGGGGGGATGATATTAAAATGGATCTTAAATGCTCAGGGAGTAAGACCATTGATTGGATTGATTTGGCTCAGAAAAGGGATCAATGGCGGACCCATGTAAACACGGCAACAGACCCTCGGATTCCGTCAAAGGTGGGGAATTTCTTGACAGTAACGTAGCTTCCAACGGGCTGGACGAGCTCTGTTTGAAGTTTGAAGGTTCCTTGCGATGGTGCGTTATAATACATAAAATTGTTCTTTGGCCTTTGTCCAACGTCTTAAATTATAATATAATAAAAGAACGTTTTGGAAACTGGATTATGATTTCATCGTCAGATAAAAAGGGCAAGAAAGGGGATAGAAAGCCTATATCTTGGGCCCCCTGGTTTAGCTAGCCTCAGGTCTGTATGTCCAGGTCAAATTAGAATTGTGAATGTGTTTGAGGAAATACCAGAAATCCGTCTAAACTAGATTGTCCTAAGCAAGAAGTAATTATTACTGAGATATAATGTGACGTATAGTAATCTAACCTAACCTGACCTAACACCGACTAGTCTTTATTAAGGGATCTATTAAAGACTCAGATATTGCTAAGAACAACACTAGCCGCTATTAGGTTGGGTTAGTTACGTAACGTCACTTTTCAGTAATAATTACTTCTTCCATATAATTTTGCCTAGGACAAACTAGTATAGACAGATTTCGTGTATATCCGGCAACAAATACAAACAATAATTATAATTCTCGCTGAATTTATACCAGTCACTTGAGGATTATGTGCTAAATAAACAGCTTTAGGGTGATAATTAAATGTTAACTAGTAACACAACTGATCTGTTAGAGTTATTGCATTTATTTAACATCTGCAACCTATGTTATTAGGCTATCCAATTAAAAAACACGCATTATGGTGGAGAGAGACTGTGAACCTCTCTGAGCACAGAAGTAAAACACGAGGCTGAATCAAGTCTTGAATAATAAATACCTCCATCCACTTTTCAATATAAATAAAGGATTTTTTATTATTGTTATCCCATCTATTCACCACTTTATAGGGTATGTACTTCCATGTACCCGAGACAGACCTTGTCCCTAGTGCAGCAGCTATTTCCGGAATACATATTGTTTTTAACACGTGCTACATGTATTATATAATTTTATAGTTAGAGATGACTACATATTTTACGACATTAAACTAATTTCCAGCAAAGCAACGCACAGCAACACCAGTTCCTAGGATGTGACCTTGAGCACGGTCACAAAATACTGATAAGATTAAAGCAGTTCCCCAAGTGCCGGCCCTATGGCAACCTTTCACCGCACATAACAGATTAACATAATGCTAGTGATGCTCTGTTAACAATTTGTAAGTCGACATCCTGACGGAAATTTTACGCCCTTAGTTTCTAGTAAATTGTAACGTTTCTGAGCCGGTGGTCCGTGAATGCTATCCCATTCCGATCCCTTTTTTATTATGTACAAGGAAACATTTACCTAACCCAATACCTAATAATGTTAACGTTAACGTTAACATAGGACCCAACAGTAAAGGTAAAACAGATCCATCATGGATTGGGCAGCTTATGTTATGTTATCAATAGATAAACAATCCTGTATTAAGGATTACTTTGTCTTGTGCAATGTTGGTCTATCTTTAGAAAGTGTATCGTCTTGATAAACGGGTGTGCTTCATATTATCTCTTCGACAAGTTCGTTCTTTTCGTAATTACAATGATATAATTACCACCTGAATTAAAACGATCTCCGACTTATGTAAACCCTTAGAAACCAAAGCTCATTTGAATATATGATGTGAAGCTTTCACGTCGGATGTCATTAATAAACTCTTCTCGTACCAGTTGGTTAAACTCTGCCGACGTTTCGAGGGTCATCTCTGTCCTCATTTTCAAGGCTAGTCACATCTGTGTGCTCGCACCGACCCACAAAAACCTGCCCAAGGCTTGTGCACGGATCTGATCGCTAGCCAATGGGTGGCTAAGTACTTCAGAATTGCACCTTACCTCAACGAAATACACACTTCTCCATTGCAAAGTTCAAGTGGTTAGTGCTGTTTAAAGAAATAATCATAGTAACTGAAGAGAACAACAGACAATACAAAACAAACAGCAGAAAAGAGAAGTAAAAGGTTCAGTAGTTAAGAGTAAGCTTAAGTAGGTACAGAGTCCTTCTTCAGAAGCTGATAGTACGCCAAAAAATTTCCTGCCTTTTATTATGGAACCAAATGTTCATTACTGTGTCCACAAGAGCCCGATAATGGAGAATTAAATTGTACTCTGGGGAGCTTATACCACAGCAAGTGAAATGACTAACAGAACACAGTGCGGGGGATCCACAGGGAGGCAGGAATACCAACAGAGGAGTCAAAGGGAAATGAGGAATGGGCAGAAAATATAAATACAATACTGTAGATATTGTATGTGTCTTTTTATCTTGCCGAGGCAAGAAACCCAAACAAATAATTCTGAAAAACGAAGGGGGATAAAGTGTAGAAGACTTATAACCACATCACCGAGGCGGTGAGCAATGGAAGACGCTATAATAAAATTTAGTGCAACATGTCGGAGATTCAGCACAGAACACCACAAACACAGTGACATGCAAAATGTAACAGACTATCAATGGTTACTCGTATCTTTAGTAAATAAGCTATTTCTAGCGCTACAAAGTTCATACGAGGTGCGATCGGAAAGTTTCAAGACTGTGTCAATAGCGGGCGAACCGGTTGTAGTACGAGCTTCTGCCTTTAGGGGGTGCGGCCTACATTCATAGTGAATCAGTGTGCCAGCCGGCATCATCGAATTAGCATTTGTTTCTTAGTTACGGGCGTTTTGGTAGTGCATTACCCCGACCCTCCTGCGATTTCGGAATGACGTGTGCATCAAATTTTGCCAAAGACTCGCCAAAACGGCTACGGAAACCTATGAAATGCTAAAGCAAGCATTTGGGGAGTCCGCAA